AACAAATACCACTGCTTGAAAATTCCATGAGCCAATGATTGGGATCACTGACAAAAATCAGTGGGGAATGTTATACTAAGATGCTAAAAATTAAAATAATTGATTAAAAGATAATTAACAAAAATAGTTATTTAAAAAGATAGTTATTAGTAATATTGTCATTCTGTACTGAGCTCATTACCCTAGTAACCAAGCACCAACCACATAGTTATAAATTAACTGACCACATCGTTCTGCTGTTCTGTAATGCGTCATCCCCCCTACCTTAGTTACCTGTGTGCTATGTCAACTTTTGTTCCCCTTGTAAGGCTGTGTCAACCATTGTTCCCTTTATGAGAGACAAATGTTCCTGGAATTGGCAGACCAAGGGCTATGAATTGGCTAACCACCCACTGTGAAATGCCTCTGACCTCAAGCAAAGGGGAACAAAGGCGCAACTGATTTCTGTTTCTCATCACTATGTACTTAATGATCAATGAGCTAATCATAAATGAACTATAAAAATCAGTCAAAACTCTAACTTAGTTGCACAGCTTTGCAAATTCCATCTGCACTGTGTCGCTGGGCCAGCTAAAATAAAAGCACTTCTTTTAAAAAAGACATCTTGCCCCGTTTGTCATCTTGGGGTCTTGCCCCGTTTTTCATCATGGGGCCCTGTTTTTTGAGTAGAGTACAACAGAAGTATTTCAAGTCCTGAAAGAAAACAACTTCCAACCCAGATTGAGGTACCCTGAAAAACTATCTTTCAAAATTAGTGGAGAAACAAGATACTTACATGACAAAGAACAAATGAAGGAGTTCATGACCACCAAACCAATCCTACAAATAATACTCAAGGACATTCTAGAGAGATAAAAAAAAAAAAAAAAAAGACCACAGTTCCAGGAACAGTAGCAGGTGGGCATCACCAAGTGGGGAAGAAAATTGAATACAGGGGGAAAGTAGTGAGCCAACGGCCGGAAAATAGCATGGCAAAGACAAGCCAGTACCTGTTGTCTGTAATCATTAATGTCGATGGCCTCAGTTCACCAATAAAAAGAAACACAGGCAGAGTGGATCAAGAGACAGAGTCCATCAATGTATTTTATATAAGAAACACATTTAACTTGAAAATTCATAGACTGAAAATCGAAGGAGAGGAAACAATGCTCTATGTGACAGGGAACCAGAAAAAAAGTAGGGGTAGTTTGCCCATCAGCTGCAGACTGGATAAGAAAGCCATGGCACTTTTATACAGCGGAAAGCAACTCAGCTAAAAAGAAAGATAATCTTGAGGCTCTTTGTAAGTAAATGGATACAACTTGAGATCATGCTCCTGGATGAAATGGTTCAAAGTCACATGGGTGAACATCATGTTGTCCCCCAGTATAAAAAACTAAAATAGTTAGTAGGATCCAAATACACAACAGATACTGTGAAAGTGAAACAGGAGGAAGTGTCTTAAAAGGGAAGGCAGTAGCCATTGTTAATCTATTATTGTGTTTTGAAATTTGTATTGTTTTCATTGTTCTGTTCAGTTTGGTTTTATTCTGTTTTGTTTTGTTTTGTTTGATTTTATTATATTTGATGGCATGCACAGCTATTTCAAAGGTAACAAAATATATTATGCTAGCCATTATTGATTTCCTATTATCTTGTTTTGAAGCCCTATATTGCTTTTATTGTTTTGTTTTGTTTGATTATATAATGTCTGATAGCATAGACAGCTACTTTGAAGATAACAAGAAGCATTATGGTAGTCGTTGTTTTCCTATTATCTTGTTTTAAAGTCCTGTATTACTTTCATTGTTCTATTTTGATTGATTTTATTCTGTTTTGTTTTGTTTGATTTTATTATGCCTGATGGTGGGAGCAGTTATTTTGAAGATAAGAATAGGAATTATGGTAGCCAGTACTGATTTCCTTTTATCTTTTTTGAAGTCCTGTACCACATTCATTGTTTTGTTTTGTTTTGTTTTTTTGGTCCTTTTCATTTTTATCGGTACCAGGGATCGAACTCACGACTGCCTGCTGGCAAGGCAGGCACTTACACCGCTGAGCTAAACCCCCAGCCCCCATTGTTTTGTATTGATTGACTCTATTCTGCTTTATTTTATTTGGTTTTATTCTCTTCAAAAATAAAGAATTCAAGGCTAGTCTAAACTACATAATAAGACTATATCCCAAAAAACAAAAAAGAAAAAAAGAATGCTTACCAAAGATAGGTCTTTACTGAGCAGCAACAGCAGACATTACAAAGTATATTTCCTAATTCACTTTTTTCCCCTCTTGGGTCACATAACAGATACAGAATCAAAGGCCCTGCAAGTAAACTGTGAGAAAATGCCTTCTTGGGTGATGCTTTTAGAATTAAAGAAGTTTGTGCTTCTTTAACATAAGATGCTTGGGGAAAGTGACTCTCAGGGCACTAGAAATCTAGGAGAGCTCCACTAGTTGGGAGAGGAAATGGGCTCCAGAGATGCCAGGGCAACCGTGTGATGCCTTCGGAACCATAACACTCACAGGAGCAACACTTAGCATGTGTCTGGTATGTTCCCAGCACTGTGTTCAGTGTTTACAGTACCTTATCTCATTTAATCCTTATACCGAGTCTAGGGGAGGTAGGTGCCATTATTTTTATCATTTTCACAACAGAAGAAACAGAAGATTCTGTAAGAAACTTTCCCAAGGTCATTCAGTTCTCTGGTGGCAAATCTAGGACTCTGGCTGAAGATCAATCAAAGTGCAGCACTCGCCCTCTCAGCAAGAACACTGTTAACTGCTAAAAGGAAAAACTGGCAAAGAGGAAAAAACAAGAGTGACTGCTATGGATGTTGCCAGTGTAGCTCTGGTGTGACATTAAGAATCATCTTCACTTCTGCTGCTTCTGAGCTGCCTGTCAGTGTGCTATGTGCTTTCATGGGAGCCAGGATTACCTTACTTCCTTCTTTTATGGCCTCTTCTATATCAAATAAGGTAATCTTGTCAGAGCCAAGGAACAAATTAAAATAAGTACATATGGGCAGAGTGACAACTATTATGATCCACAAAGCTGCTTAGAAACTTACTGGTGTAAAATCATTGCGTGTTTAAAGATCTTTACTTTTAACCTAACTTAGAAGCAGTGTGAAGAGCAGGATAGATACAAACCATCTGAAACCTAAAAGAGCCAAAGTATTATAAATGGGCATTGCAAGGAAATTTGAATACAAGTTATAATCCCTTCATTTTACAGCATAAGATTAAGAAGACTCGAAGATGTGATAGTGGTCAGTGAATTTAATCTCAAATTCCTACTTATTTAAATTGTTTCAGGTTCAGTTTTGCCCATTGCTGGCACCAGTATGGAAGCTAATATAATCTAACTTTCCTTGGTTCTGACAAGCACTCAGCTGAGTCATCTTACCCTGGATTCTTGTCTGGCAGTAATCAGAGAAAGATGATTTAAATAAGAGTCTAAAATTTCCAGTGAAAAAAGTAATATACAGCATACTTAACTTTTAATTGGACATAAATTTGAACTCCTATTTATAAAATCGCCAATTAAATTCACTTTGAACACCAACTTGTCAGGTAAATTCCTCATTTAACCAGACCAGCTTTATTTTGGTGGGGTGAGGTGGTTCACATTTGCAATCCCAGCTATTCTGTAGGCTGAGGCAAAAAAAAAAAAAAAAAAAATCACAAGTTCGAGGACACCTAGACAATTTAGTGACATCTGGTCTCAAAGTAAGCGTTTAAAAGCTGAGGATGGCAGCTCAGTGCCTAGCATGTGTTCAGGACCTGGGTAAAATTTCCAGTGGAGAGGGGGCTTCATTTCAAAGCTTATCAATGGAATTGTAAACAATAATTGCCTCAAAGGCAGATTTGGTAAAACATACAGTAGTGTTTGTTCACGACTCAAAAGTTTTGAACTGAGTCACTCCACGTGTTAACTACACGGTCTTTTGTGTACCATAAATTCCTTCTTCACTCATCCTCAAACTGTTTCTCACATTTTGCAACTCAAGGGCTCTGACACACCCACAAGTTAATAGTTGAAGATCTGACACATGGGTACCAATATAGATATGTACCTACAAAACCTATTCACAGCATACACACACACACACACACACACACACACACACACACACACACAAAGCTAAAAATCACCTCCCCAGGCCCCACTTCCAACCAGATTGAACCAGTTTCATGAGAAGCACCTGTTAACAACTGAGGTGATTCTTCGATAGATCCCTGCCCAAGGAAGAGACAGTTTCCCTATGTAAAGTGACCTGTAAACCATCACAGTAAGTCCATGGAAAGTTTAGCTTTCTCCCAGTACACACAGGTTGGATGGAGTTGAGGGAAGGATTGACTAATCTGAGGACTGGGCCAGGTCTAATGGTTCATCCCACTAAGACGAGCACTTAGAGGCCGAGGCAGAATCTCCAGCTCAAAATTAGTTTGGACTACACAGAGAGATCATGCCTTAAAAGTCTAAAAATCAGTAAGTGGAAATTACAATCTGACAGCCAGAGAGGTACTTGCGCTTTAAGTCACTGATAGAAGAAACAAAGGATGCCTAGGTAAACTAGTAGACATGCCATGCCTTTGTCATGCTTAAAGGTGTAAAAAAAAAAAAAAACCCTGAAACACAGAAACACTAAGTAGGAGAAATTTAAGGTTTTCTTCACTAGAGAAACAAAATCCCAGCTTGCTATTTTCAAAACATTCCAATTTGGAAACCCAGAAGGGGCACTCCAACTCTGCCACACTGCTCACTCCTCTTCCCGCAAAAAAAAAAAAAAAAAAAAAAAAAAAAACGAGCTATAGGAAAGCTCATTTCCTACTGAGTTCCCATAATCACTTGCTGTTACAAGTCATTTGACCAAACACCCCCCAAATTACAAGGCCCCAAAATGTACTCTTGGCCACGAACACATCCTAAGCAAAAGCCAGTCAATCACCAGTGTTTACAGCCGCTTTCTCCAATAACTGAAGTGGCTCTGAAAAGAGCCTTTGGGGTAATAATTCACCTGTCGCCTCCCTTACTTAGAGCTGGTATACTTCGTGACCGCCTTGGTGCCCTCTGACACGGCATGCTTGGCCAGCTCGCCTGGCAGCAGCAGGCGCACGGCCGTCTGGATCTCACGGGACGTGATGGTTGAGCGCTTGTTGTAGTGTGCCAGGCGCGACGCCTCGCCAGCGATGCGCTCGAAGATGTCGTTGACGAAGGAGTTCATGATGCCCATGGCCTTGGACGAGATGCCGGTGTCCGGGTGGACCTGCTTCAGCACCTTGTACACATACACCGAGTAGCTTTCCTTGCGGCTGCGCTTGCGCTTCTTGCCGTCCTTCTTCTGCACCTTTGTTACAGCCTTTTTCGACCCCTTCTTAGGGGCCGGAGCAGATTTCGCCGGATCGGGCATTCTTCTCTCCCAAAACAACTACAGCACACACCCAGACAACTGATTGCAGACTACACCGCAAGTCGCCGGTTGCGCTATACTTATAGAGCCTACATGCAAATGAGGGTTCCAAAAGTGCTGCGTTTTTACTGGTTATTTAAACAACTCGTCATAGAAGGGTGGAGTTTATGTAAATAGACTCTGGTTGCGCTTCCTTAGTGGTCATTAGAACAAGTCATATTGGCCAATCAAAATGTTCCATTTCACATCCACCAGTAAATTACGTAGAGCAGTGATTTCACCAGTTCTTTTTCCGCCGGTTTTCATAGGTTGGTATACATACGAAATTCTTTAGTATAAGAAAGCTAGTTTCTATTTTTGTATATAAACACCACCTGTGATTCACTCTTCTGGCTTCCACTACCTATATTACCTGGCGAATATCAAGCTATAAACAAGACTATGCAATTCTTAAATACAAAATAAAGACAAAAAGGCATTTTCAAAGACAGATTCACTTGTCTCTGGTCGTAGGGCCTTACATGTCAGGGTTTAGCAAATGTCTGCGGTACAAAATTTTCCCTCACAGAACTGAAAAATCGATAAACCGTTGCTCTAGGTTTAACCCAGCACTTAAGGACTGAGTTGGCCTGAACCAAGACCATGTTTTTGTTTGCTGTGCCATAGGCCTAAAGGCCAAGCACCCACATCCCCTACCACCCACTTTTGCTATGTCCCTTATTTCTCTACGCAAAGTATTAACAGTAAGGAACTGAAAAGTAGATACAGCTGCTCTTTTGGAAACGTAGGTGGCTCTGAAAAGAGCCTTTAAGGTGAATTTAGTGTATGATTTAGGCCCGCTCCCCGCGGATGCGGCGAGCCAGCTGGATGTCCTTGGGCATGATGGTGACGCGCTTGGCGTGGATGGCGCACAGGTTGGTGTCCTCGAACAAGCCCACCAGGTAGGCCTCGCTGGCCTCCTGCAGCGCCATCACGGCCGAGCTCTGGAAGCGCAGGTCCGTCTTGAAGTCCTGCGCGATCTCGCGCACCAGACGCTGGAAAGGCAGCTTGCGGATCAGCAGCTCGGTGGACTTCTGGTAGCGCCGGATCTCGCGCAGCGCCACGGTGCCCGGCCGGTAGCGATGCGGCTTCTTCACGCCGCCCGTGGCCGGCGCGCTCTTGCGGGCCGCCTTGGTGGCCAGCTGCTTCCGCGGGGCCTTGCCGCCGGTCGACTTGCGGGCGGTCTGCTTCGTTCGAGCCATAGCGCCCTCGTTTTAACCAAGACACTCTGGGCAGTCTTATTTATAGACATAGGCTCGTCTTGATTGGGCTAGAAAGGAGGAATTTCTGAAGTTCTGATCTCATTGGCTAGAATTCAATCCTATGTACTGCGGCAGAAGATTATTGTGCCAACCTTTCTTTTATTCCTTCCATTTCCTCTCTTCTTTTTCTATAATTTATCCATCCAAGGGTAGTTTTTTGAAGACCTTTCTTTTAAGTTAATGTACATTTGTAAAAAAAAAAAAATTTATGATGTTTTAGGGGCTGGGGATTTACCTCAGTGGCTCAAGCACTTGCCTGGTAAGCTTGAGGTCATGAGTTTGATCCCAGGTACCAAAAAAAAAAAAAAGCAATACAGAAATTTATAACGTTTTGCATATTTTATATTTTAACAGGTTTTTTTTCTGAAAAACAGCATGCCCTTCTAAGAACTAGGGTTCAGTTTGTTTCAAATCACCTGTTACTGCAACACTTCTTCCATGGCTACATTTATTTAGCTTCCGGCTCTGTTAAATGTATTACATGATCTCTGAAGCAGAACAAAACAATATGTAGTGGAAGGTTTAAAAAAATTAAACTTCGTGTCACCTGACTTTTGACCTAGACAACACCTGTTTTGTCTGCCTGCTAAATACCAACTTGATACTAGGGCCTCTGTCCTCCTTTTCCCTTTTTATCCCCTACAGTGAGGCATCCTTCTCATCATCTTATCAAAGGCCAGTTAGGGCCTCCTCAGGAAATGCTTCTAAGACAAAGAAGGCGAAGATCAGAAATACTAATTTCTCCATTACAATGAGGAATGGTTTCTAGTCAAGTCCTTCTCCACCATAAGACAAGTTGAAATAAATTTTCAAAGCAGATGTTTCATCAGTTACTGAGTTGCTCATGTGTTCTTCAGTAAAGATAAAATTTTGCTATTGTGTAAAAGTTTAATATTTTCTGTATTTTCACAAGGATAGTAAAAATCCTGTGCCTTTTAGTTATTTCATATGCTTTGAAGCATTGTTCAGGAAAAAAACATAAAGCAATGGTTATATAAAAGTTACTGATTTTAACTGCATGCTTGAACTAGCATTACATACAACCTTATGAAAACCCAACCTTAACAAAAGCAGGCCTAAGATGCTTAAAACTAACACTGACTAAGGGGTTTTCCTGAACAATGTAAAAAGTGTTAGCTTAATTAATATCATCAAGAATCTCTTAGAACAGATGCCAACTTCTCTAAGGAGCTCTAAAATGACATACAAAAGTGTAATTGATGCAAACAAATGTGACCCCTTCCTGCGGTAGTTGTCTAACATCCCACAATGGAGAGTTTGAAAGTTCTTCCTATACTGTGTCATTTAATGTCAACTTTGTGAAACAGGTGTAACTTGCCTCATTTTACAGGTAGGAAAATTGAGACTCAGAAATTGGATAAATTAAAATGCTACATAATATCCTAAAGCAAAATAATGAACTTAAATGAAGAATTTCCTATTTCATTATTACTGTGCTAACTTATAAATTAAACTTTACCATAAGTATACCTGGTTTATGGTAAAAATCAGAGCACTGTTTACATGGATTTCAATGTTGTTTGTAGTTTGAGGCATTGACTAGGCATCTTGGAATATATTCCCTGAGGGATATTCAAATAGAGAATCTAAGTCATAGGATTTTACTTTTATAACTTAAATCATAAGAAAATTCCAAGAGTCTTCCTCTGATTTAAGTTTTTTAAAAAATTAGAAGAATCTACTCAGAAAACAGGGATGTCAGTTTAAATATTTACTTAGGCAATTAAATAAGGCAATTAAATAATTAAACAATTCAAATAAGATCATCAACCAGAGTGGTAAACTTTCAATTTTTTTAAGTAACACTTGTCAGAATACAAAAGCTTCTGATGCACAGTTGCCTTAGAAATCACTTTTAATAACAATTCAATCCCCATGTTGGACTCTAGAGTAATATTCCTATGAAAGTTTCCAATCAACTCCTTACAGAAGTAGTTCTGTGGTACAGAACCTCCGCTTTCCTGCAGCTGTAAGGAAGAGGAACTAGTTCTCCTAAAATGTCTTAAGTTACTTTCATGAGAAATTATAAGGTTTGCACTTTGAATTTTACTAGTTATGCAGGAGCAGTGGCAGAAAACTTGGGGCAGGGAGGACTGGCAGAAGACGCTTCACATTTTCCATCATATAAACAAGAAAATTTTAATACATGAATTGTTAGGTAAGTAATGTACATGTATTTATTTTTGATACAAAAGTAATTAAGTTAAAATAGATGTTATAGGAAGATAGCTTGTGTTGGATTTTTAGCTTCAGGTACTCCCAGGATTGTAAGTATTTCAAACTCAGACCATTTGAATCTGATTTGTGGGTTGGCCAGGCCTACTACATGATTTGCTTTCATCCTCATTGATTTGCAGCCCTGGACCAAACTCAAAAGTCATAGGATTTTGAGATTCTTTCCTTACCCAATTCTGAAATAAATTAACTTCTTCAATATCCTGCATCACTGGATAAAAACAGCACCATTCTCCTTTCTACTTAAGACAGGAAGGTAAGGTGTGGCTAAAACCAGCTAGGAAAGGAATTGCCAAGATACTTGGAACGCAGTTCCCCAAATCCTGCACATAGACTTCTCTCAAGAACTCCAACAGGTTTTCGATAGGATGGCCTCAACCTGATGAAAGCCTGAGGACTGGGTAATACAAAAAGGACAGGCCACGCTGAGTTTCTGCCACATTGTCTGCTTTTGCCCGGTGGTCTGCCCTCACGCCACAGGGTATACTACTTTCCCTACTTTTACTTGGCCCAAACTTCCTCCGCACAGCCTGTTTCTTTTATTATCCTTAACAAAATTTTACTAACATTTGTGCTTGTCTTAACCAACTCTTTGCTCAGGATAGAAAGAACTTAGAGGGGTTGGGGGTTTAGCTCAGCGGCATAAGCGCCTGCCTTGAAAGCAGGCAGTCGTGAGTTTGATCCCCGGTACCGATAAAAAGGAAAAGGACAAAAAAAAAAAAAAGAACTTAGAAACTTCCTCCAGGAGACTCCAGCATCCCCAAAGCTCCTTAATGCTTACTGCCAATACTGTACAGCTTTAAATTTATACAATTTCTGGCTTTATTCCACTACAATATACAAGAATGAAATAACAAATTATATTTCAAAGTTAGGCAAAAATAAAATGGTTTTATTCTACTAGTCATTCTTGAGAAATATTGTAGGATACATACTTTTTGTTTGTTTTGTTTTGTTTTTGGTACTGGGAATCAAACTCACAACCTGGCACTAAGCACTTGCACTGCTGAGCTAAATCCTCAGCCTCTAGACTACATATTGCAGCTATGTTTAAAACTTATATTCTAAGGACTCTTTTTTTTTTATATGAATTGTGGACAAAGAATAACTTTTTTCTTCAACCTTCACAGGGTCTTAAAACTGATCCGATGACCATAGATCAATAAGAGAAAAAGCAAAGCCGTGTACACCTGTAATCCCACTATTCAGGAGACTGAGGCATGAAGATTCACCGTGAGCTCAAGGACAGTCTGAGCTACATAGTCAGTTTCAAGGCCAGCTTGGACTACCTAGTGAGACCCAGTCTCAAGAAAAAGCAGAAGTTTATAATATGTACATTTTGATAGAATATACATACCTTCTTAGTTATTTTTCTCATTGCTGAGACAAAATACCTGACACCCAAAGTTAAAGGAAGAAAGATTTATTTACCCCACAGTTGTAGCGGTTTCAGTCAGCTGGCTCCAAGGCAGGGTGGCCTGAGTTCAAGGCAGGCAGAAGGCAGGCAGAACAGAGAGGGAGCTATTGGCAACAGCAGCCTTCTTTCTGTCCCTCATGTTCTATCCAGGCTACAGGCCTTTAAGGAAGGTAGCACACACACTCAGAGTGAGTCGTCTCATCAATCATACTCAGAACAATGCCAAAACAATCAGTGGGCTAATTTAGTAATCACACATGCTTAATCCTACATCACATACTCTAGACTCAGGCACTCCGACCCCTGAGGCCTTGGGAGAACATCTAGACATAAGTTCATAAGCATATATAGAGCACCCCAAAGATGAGTAATTCAAACAGGTGATTAGAAGTAGGACCATATATATCTCAGTAGGGAAAAAAGAAAATGCTTTTTTAGAAAAATAAGTAGCCCTTAGAAGAAAAGAGATGTGATAGGCCTGTGACAGTGACAGGTTTAGTATGTGTTTCTCATCTCCACAAAGAGAAAACTGGGTTGTTGCCACAGATTTATAACAACTGAGTCAAAATGTCGAGTTCTTTTAGGAGTCTCTGATTTTAGGCAGATAAGAAATTTCAGGAACTCTAATACCTCTACATCAAAATGTTTCCTATACCCAAAATGATTTATTTTGGGGTAGAATATCATGACGCCCTTCAAAAGGGAAGTGCAAAGACACTGTCTCTGGTTCCACTAAGGGTCCTGTCCCCCAATACCAAAAAATATCAATTCTGTCTGCTTTGGCTTGTGGTTGTTTTTATCGTGTTGCAATTTGGTTATGTCTTTCTTACTAGTGTTTAAAACTAGTCAAATGCAGAAACTGTTCGTTTTTTAAATGAGCGATGAGCTTATACAGGACAGAGAAGCAGCCGACCGAGAAGAGGCCTACTATGAATTCTAGGGTGTAGCTTTAAGGATGTAGATGTGTGATGCTTGGTGGTTCCATTCACTGAAAAGATGACAACTATGCTGGGGGCAGGGATGAGTCCCCTTTACCCGGGAGACTAAACATTTGATTTTTGTTCCTCTTGAGCTTTGAGTTTTAAATGACTGAAAAACTACCAAATGGATCTCCATGTCTGGAGCCTATAGGCCTGGATAAATATCTGGGATTCCTCAGCATATAGAAAGTAGCTAGTGCCAACAGAGAAATGAAACAAGATCTCCTTTAAAATAGTATTTTTCAGGAAAATAATTATTTCTGGTGCACTAATCAGAGCATTCTTTCATAGCTTCTCCTACAGAGGGCCCTAGAAATGAACATGCTAACAGTAAGATCCTCAATGCTTTTTTCATAACTCAGTTTGTGGTAGTGTCTCCTCAGCAGGATTTAGCCCAGCGACACCAACCGCTGCCTAGCAAGCACAAGGCCAAGTTCGATTCTCCAGAACCAAAACAAAACAGATATCCTGCAAAACCCTTTGCAAGAGGGGAGTGGTGCTCAGCTTAGGCACTTAATTCTGGCTGAACATGGGACCAATTTTAGAGGACCTGTAGACATGGATTGCAGACTCTGCCTTCTCTAACACATTTGTAGAGTACACTCAGCAGAACTTTAAATGGCGTGCATGGGGATTCACTGACCTCCACGAGGCGACTTTTTAGTAGTCTGTTAGTATTCTGAGACCAACTTTCCTAGGATCTGGCTTCTGATTAAACAAAAGAGTGGCTAGACTCAGAAATTACAGCGAGCTTCTCCCTCCCTCCTCCCTGCTTCCACATGGACACCAGGAGCCACTGCTTTGCTGCAGTTCTCTGCAGTGACGTTGAGAAGTCTCTGGTCTGAGATTCGGGGGAGAGGGGCGTTCTGCCCCTCTGCGAACTCTCATTTGCTCTTCCTCCAGTCTTCTCCCACAAGACCTTTCCTTTTACCCTCAATTTAATGCCTTCCGGGAGCTCAGACGGAGAAACAAAAGCACAAAGACTACGAAGTCTGGAAGCTGTGTTGGGATCTGAATTCTCCCAGAGACTACGGCGTATCAGTTACTGGGAGACAAAAAAGAAGGAGGAGAGACAGGAGAAGAAGAAACGAAAAGAGAAACACAAGAATCACAAAGCGCCGCAGAAGCCAGCAGACCAAGAAACAAAAGAAATACGACGCGGCGGGAAGGCGGGGCAATCAGGCTGCTTCCCGCCCGCGCTCTTTCTGTCCTCAATCTGGTCCGATACCCGTGTATATTAGCCGGAAGCCGCGCTTGGTCGGGGCAGAGGTTTTGCTTTCTGAGGCGAGGATGTCTGGAAGAGGGAAAGGCGGCAAAGGTTTAGGCAAGGGTGGCGCTAAGCGCCATCGAAAGGTTCTGCGAGACAATATCCAGGGTATCACAAAACCTGCGATCCGGCGCCTGGCTCGCCGCGGTGGTGTCAAGCGTATTTCTGGTCTTATCTACGAGGAGACTCGGGGCGTGCTCAAGGTGTTCTTGGAAAACGTTATTCGTGATGCAGTCACCTACACTGAGCATGCCAAACGCAAGACCGTCACTGCCATGGATGTAGTCTACGCGCTTAAGCGTCAGGGCCGCACCCTCTATGGCTTTGGAGGGTAAATGCTCAGCTTTGTCTCACAAACTCCCAACGGCCCTTTTTAGGGCTACCCACACAGTCACTAGGAGGGCTGACTCGCTTTGTTGATGCAAGTTGTAGTCACCTTGAAGCTTTGCTAGGTAATAGTGTGTTCAAGAAGAGTAGTTTCTGAGTTGCAGATAAGTGCTAAACTACAAATTTCAAGAGTACACCTGTATATAGGCCTGGCTGTTACAGTTTTGTTGTGTAAAATAGTACCTTATGGTCACTGGGAATGGTGGAAGCAGAATGGGCACCATCACTAGCATTCGGTCTAGATAAATATGCCCCGTACAATCTCAAAACAATTCTAAATCTATTAGAACTGCCAGTGTACCACCTGATCGATGCTTCAATTATTGACCTTCTGGCCTGATACTCCAAGTCCATTAATGCTGAATAGTGTTTTGTGATGTGAATGCTTCTGCAGCTCAAAGTCAAGCCCAGCCAACCAGGTAACTCACAAAGAAGCTTACTATTAAGTTTTTGGGCGTTTCTGGTAACTCCCCTAATCAATCCATGAAAATCCATTGATTTTCTTTACTTAAAGAGGCCTTGGAACTTAGCATAGAAGTTTAGAATCAGCTTTCAGTGATAGCAATGTAAGGATACAGATAGAGGTGTTTAATGTGGTCTGATAAAAGCTGAACAAATACATAATCATAACTGAAAATATTTTCAAGACAATTCAGTTATGTGGCTTACCTATTTGAGCCTGTTGTAGCTTAAAGTGAGACTTGTTAAGGTGCCTGCCATTAGTAACAGAAAGTACCATTCAATTTTGATCAGGAAAAAGACATTTTCTTTATCAGTGTGGCAAAAATACAGCAAGTTAATACTTCGTTTCTCATAAACTCCTGATTTGAAGATTGGCGGATCCACAAAAACACTTGGGTAGTGAATTTATAACGGTGCTTTAGCAGTGGAGTCAGCAACGGATGTATGCAAGACTTGCCTTCCAAGAGCCCATCACTGGAACAGAAAAACAATAGTTAACATTTAAAAATGTACCAGGGGAAGGGTCCCCCGGTATAGCTCAGTGGCTCAGCGCCCGCCTGCCTAACAAAGACAAGGTCCTGAGTTCAATTCCCAGTACCAAAAAAGAAACAAATGTACAAGATATGATCAAAAGATACAGTTAATGTTTAAATTTGAAAATATACCACAGTAAAAGATACATTAGCAAGGGCTAGGGGGTTAGCTCAGCGGTTTAAGCACCTGCCTTCAAGTGTGCGGTCATGAGTTTGATCCCTGATACCGATAAAAAAAAAAAAAAAAAAAAAAGGAAAAAGACACACACACAAAAAAAAAATTTAGCCAGTAATTCTGGCATCACACACTTACCCCGTTTTTGCCATTCTGAAGCAGTTCTACAAGTTCTCTTTTGTGTCTTTGATTTGCTGCCATTGGCAGCCTTCCTATCCTCAACTGATACAAAACATTTACCTTTCAGGGTCATTTTGACTTTGAGGGAAGAGCTAGAAGTTACATATCCCAGATCCAGTGCGTAAGGTGGATAAAGACACATTGTAAGGGTTTTTCCATTGGGCAGCACAAGGCAGCAGCATTTACTGTACTTTCAATCACACCTTGTAAAGATACTCATTAAAATTACAGAATATGAAATAATGCACATTTTTGTGTTAATAAATGCCTTTTATCCATTTCAAACAAAAATGAATATAATGCTACTTTTATCCATCTTTAACAGTGGAGATTACCTCTTTTATCTCTTAAGTTTGCTAACAAAAATAATTTCCTTCCCATTTGTACCCCTTGAGTGCTGCCAGATGCTCTTTCCCTTCCAGAATCAATTCAGTACTTTCATTGGAATAGATACATACAAATAATTAAAAGACTGTCTTATGGATCCACATCCATTACTATGATCATAGAAGGCATCTGAGCATCTCACTAACAAAGCAAACTGCACTGTGGACCACTCTAAAGTCCTGCACTCCCTTTCATCTCTGACTAGCAGTAGTAGCACTCAAGCTAAATGCTTCTGAATCAACTTTCACTACATTATTTTCACTTGGAATTATTCCTTCTGCACTTTATATTCTATTGCTCTGCATCTTACTTCTCTATTTGAGTCAAAAGAATTGAACTGGTGCTCTCCCAATTTTCCCAATTTCATTCTCTCTCTCTCTCTCTCTCTCTCTCTCTCTCTCTCTCTCTCGCTGTGTGTGTGTGTGTGTGTGTGTGTGTTACTAGGGATCGAACCCAAGGACTTCACATGAGCAGCATCCTTAGCCTCCTTTGTATTTTTTATTTAGAGATGATCTTGTTAAATTGCTCAGGCTGGGCTTGAACTTGGGATCCTCCTGTCTCAGCCTCCCAGACTGTGAGGATGACAGGCAAATTAGGTGTCTTACTTTTCTCTCATTGTTGAGACAAAACACCTAATGCCCAAAATTAAGGCAGGAAAGGTAGCTCACAGTGTGTGGAGATTTCAGTCCATAATCAGCTGGCTCCAAGGCAGGGTGATGTGACAGACAGTAACAGTTTATGGCAGCAGGAGACAGCAAATGCAAAAGGAGCAAAAAGAGAGGAAGATGGAGAGAAGACTCTTTCCGTCTCTCATATTCTATGTAGGCCACACACATCCACCCTAGGATGGGTGTAGCTCTTACACCCGTAATTCTGGCATTGGACCATGAATTAATTACAAGCCTGCCCCCATGACTATATGAGACTTTGAGGGGACGGCCATATACAAACCATAACGGTAGAATTTATGCAGAATGTTACTAGCATACATAAATATATACAAATGTGTAGAGAATTATCAAGGGTGTTCACAAAAGTTAAGAATATAGTAGTAGTTTTACTATCTTTATTGAACATTTCTGAGTTGTTCAAATCTCTTAAAATAAGCTTGAATATAATTTGCCCTAAAATAATAGAGACAGACAGACAGACTCTGGATTATATAAACCATGACAAATCTTAGTCTGCCACAGCTATATTTTTTCACCTTTAGTGTTACCGAGAATTCCTCCCTTTCTCTTAGGAAATATTTCAAAGATCAAATTAAAACACCTATGTGGGGAAAAAAAATTGAAGCCAGGAAGTAACATAAACACCAAAGTTGATACATTTTTTGCCAGTATCATCCAACATGCTCTGGACTACTTAGGAGAGAAGAGGGTGTCTATGTAGACTATAGAGAACAATGGACATAATGGATAGAGTATGAAGAGGTAGGCAGGAAGAGACTCTCAGAGTCAGACCACAGAAATATAGTCAGTTTAATATAGTCTATTAAACTAAAATATAGTCAGTCATTGACTTCCCAGTGCATGCGGCTGCTATAATGTGTTAAATGTGTTATTCAGATCTTCAGAATACCAAAATGTAAACAGTATTCTCATTTTATAAATGAAGAAATCAATGTTTAAGCAGTTGAAACAACATGACATTCTCTGGTACACTCTACTATGCTCCTGACTTTTACTAAAATATTGTCTAAGACTTGAAAATCACAAAGAATCTGAGGGTCTATGAACCTATTTGCCATATTATTTAACAGAACCTAAAAGTGTCCATGGGCATCAATTGAGCTGGTTTCCTTATTGTACTTTTTCCTCTGACTTGAAGACAAAACTCTTCTCCAGCTTCCTGTTGCTATCAGATCCCTAAGTGGTGCAGGTGTCCTCAGAGGCCATGCTTGGGCCATGTCTGCATGCGCTTCTCCCCAGGACTGCTGGGGCATACTCTCCTCCTCTGGGTAGTTCTGACTCCAGACCCACAGCACAGCTCCTGAGGGGCGGCACCACTTGCAGTGCCAGTGACCAGCTCTGCCCCAGTGTAGCCTGAAGTAAGCTCTTGATCAGCTCCTTCTCTTGTACCCATGAAGGTGGTGCCCTCCTCGCAGACACTCACAAAGGAAGTCCAGAGTCATCTTCCATTACTTTTTGCCTCAACCCCTATCTGCTCTTCCCCTAACTAGATCCTAGCAAGTGTTCACGTGCAATAAAGTCAACAACTTCCTCCTGTCCTTTGCTGTGGCTGGTTCCTTCATTGATGCTGAATTCACTATGTAGCACACGATGGCCTTGAACTCATGGAGACTCTCCTGCTTCAGCCTCCTGAGTTCTGAGACTACAAATATGCATCACCACTTCTGGCCTCTAGTTTTCTTTTATCCTTATTTCCTGATTTTCCTTGCCTTTTTAAATTATTATTTTAAAGGAAATAAAACAACAGCAAAATGAAATAAAAATGATAGGACAGTAGGAAATCCATAATTGTTACTATATTGCATATTGTTGTCCTCTAAATAGTTGCTCAGACTACCAACCCCATGCTTACCCAATCAAACAACACAAATGTCAGTTTACTTCCCTACTTCAGTTATTATCATCTCAGCCTGTGTCGCATCCCGTTGCCTTTTGCGGGGGCTGGTGCCTGGGAGGGCAGAAGCAGCTTCCTTGCTGGTTCTCCCTGGCCAGCAGGGCCACTGCCCACAAATGGAGGGCTGTCCAGCTTCCTTGCTGCTTCTCCCCAGCTAGCATGGCCTCTGCAAGCACAAAGGAAAGCTGCATGGCTTCCCTGCTGTTTCTCTCTCAACCCCACCCCACCCCTGGCCCGCAGGGCTTCTGCCGGCACACGAGAGAGGCCGCACAGCTCCTTGCTGCTTCTCCCCATCTGGTAAGGATGCCAGTCCTGGTTTTCTTATTTTTGCTGGATTCCTGAATTCTCTCTCTCTCCATGGGCTTCAAGTCTCAGTTCAGATCCTTCCTGTGTCCATGGGACCCACCTCCCTCCTCCTTCTCTTTCTCATGTTGCTATATTCCAAGGTCTGGACACCAAAACTTGGGGAGGTTTTTTCTCTGCTGCTTACCACTCTGTCATTTTCCTGGAAGTACTCCCCACCTTTATTTTAAAGTATCTTTTTATTTCTACATATAGTTTTTAAATACATTAATGTCATTTATATAACTAGCATTGTTTTCAAGTTTATTCAGTTGATTACCTTATTTCCTTCTTTTTCTTTTAAACCTGACTGTATTGTGAGGCATTCCTGTGGTCTGAATGTGGTCCCCCGCCCACCAACAACTGTGAAATCCATATGTTGAAACTTAATAGGTAATGTGATATTATTAAGAGATAGGGGCATAAGAGGGTGATTAAATCAAGAGAGTGAAGTCCTCATGAATAGATTAATCATCACAGAAACCCGAGGGAGCTGGCTGTCTGTCCCTTCTACCATCTTAAGGACACACGAAAGGACCATCCATAACAAACAGCCTCATCAGACACAAGCTTGCTGGCACCTTGATCTTAGTTTTCTCAGCTTTCAAAACTGTAAACAATAAGTTTCTGTTGTTTACAAGTTACCCAGTCTAGAATATTTTGTAATAGCTGCTCATTATATTGGATACGTCTCTTATATTGCTGCAGAGTACACCACAGAGTGAAATTACACATTTTATCTAACATTTTCCTGGTAATGAATTCAAACATTGTTTCCAATGCCCTGTCATCTTTGTCATGTTTCCTGAAAGTCCCTGGTGGACAATAATTAACTGAGAAAGCTTGAGGATTATACGTGATGCTCCTGAGTTCACACAGGTAAACAGGTAATTGTTCAGGTAGTTGTACCTGCAACTGTCATAGGCCCACCTCAGTTTCTAGGAGACCAGGATCTTTCATAAGGTACCATTCAGCAGATAGAATCACTCATCCCGGCACTAAAAAAAGAAACATTGTTTTCCTAGCCCAGGGACCACCACTACTGATCAGCAGATAAAGGATAATAGAGTCTTTTAAGCACTGATTTCCGGACCGGTGTGCTTGTTGGTACTGTGCCATCTTCCTTGGTTTAGGAGCCAGAAAAAAGCCACAATATGCAAGAGCTCCATTCCCAGAGTCATTCCTGTTGACAAGTTATCAATCCATGTCGAAAAAGGGTACAAATTCCCTGTTCCCTGACCAGCCTGGGACAGCACAACCTTGGAACCTTGGAACCTGGTTCACACAGCCTGCAAAGGGAAGGAAAATCAAAGAGGGTGGTCCAAATAACCACCAGCTGATGCAAACGACCCATGCCTTGGACAGCTCTGAGACAAGAAAACAACCAGAGGTGTTTGGGACAGTGCCCAGGTTGCTTTGGGGAGATGATCATGGCATGAGATTTCCCAACCTGGGCTTTTGTGATGGAATCTGTGGGTTCTCCTACGTTCTCTCCTTAGTTCCGAGCTCTTCACAATTTTATTTTGAGGAATGCCTGTTTAGCAAGTTTTCTCCTGGTGGCAATTCTGGGAAAGTAATTCTTGTCAAGCACTCTGATTACAGATCTTGCAAAGGATGTTTAAGTTTGTGTGGCTTCTTTCCCTTGATGCCTGAACCAAGTTTTGTCCTGTTCCTGGATATATTTTTCAAATTAGCATTTAAACTTCCATTGTCTCTATCTTGATCTGTAATTCTAAAGCCAAATCACTTTGAAAGCCAAATCACTAAGAAAATTTAAAATATCAAAACATACATTTTAAATGGTTATTGGGTGCTCTGATGATTACTAGTAATAGGAAATGCCATCAGAAGTAATAACTGACAATATTTATACTTGATCTGACTACAGTCACTAAAATCAACAGATTAGTTGAATGTTACCACCAGATTCTATTCCAAATTCTTGTTCTTAATCCATGTTTCAGATGTTGGACTCAAGTACAGAATACTGGAGACAGGAGCAGCACCCTACCATGACGTTGGGTTGCAAATTGGCAGAGGATACCAGCAGCTTCGTACCGCAGGCCTCTTGAGCTGCCTGTGAGGCCTGCTGTACATTCCGCTAGCCAGCTTCCACTCAAAGCCTACTAGCATACTGACCTCGGATCAGGTTTTGGGAAGAGTGCTGCAGCGTGGCTTTAGATCTAACAGCAGTGCAGCTCAGAAGGAGATCAAGGATCCAAAGGTGCCATCCATTCAGCTTGAGAACCTAAATAACTTGAATGTCTGGTACAGAAGAAACAAGCTGCATACCTCCTGTATCAGAGGCCTTTCTTCTCAACAAGAACTGATGTATCTGGCAACTTTTTCTAGGACAGACAAATTGAGTGTCATTCTGCAGAATTTAGGACCAGAACAAATGGAGACATGGCACCAGAGGAACTTTACAAGGCAATTTTATTACTATAGTGGGCTAACAGGAACTTCAGCTCCAAATCATCAGCCATGATTGGAAGCTTTCTAATCATTTAAATGTCTTCAAAAGGCAAATAACATAATATCCTACAGTTGGTTTATATGTCTTTGTCATCAATTTTTAGGCAAAATTTACTCTTACAGATACTAAATGAGGTTTCTATTGTACAGCATAATGCAAAACTCAATCATTGTTTGAGACCAAGCAGAGAGGTCCTTGCAGTGATAACTCCAAAGCCTGGAAGCACAGAGACATTCCTTCCTGGCTGAGCTGCTCTTATCTTGCAGTTGGCACCTGGACTGTCAAGGCTTGTCAAGTTTGTAGCTTTTTAACCATGGGAACAGGCTGTCTCCTGGTCTCATCTTTGAACATTGTTAGAAATAGGCTTATTATTAGAAATGAGTTTTAAAATTTTCTCTGCATTAAAATAACTTCTACAGCTCATTAACCTACCCAACAAACAATTTTCTGTCTTCAGATAAATTTATACTTACAAATGTTATTAACTAATAATAGTTTTCAGGTATTGATGGACTCAGTACATTCCCATCTGCCAAACAAATAAAAAGGTCTGAAATACTCTGAGTGCAGCCTTTACAAAAACAGGACACAAATACCATCCTGTTCCTGCCTAGATAGTAACAATGCTGTGAAAATTTCCTTTGAGAGTCAGAGAACCTTCCTGGATTCAAAGGACTCAGCCTGGTGAGTGAGCAAAAACCACCATCTTCCAGCAGACAGAAGATAGCAACATCCCCAGGTTCCAGTGTCTGCTTGGCCATTGCTGGGCCTGAGATGCTGGGTAGAAAGGTGATTCCACACACCTGGCTATCAAAGTAGAGTGCACACCCTGTATCACAGACCTCAGCAAGAAAGAGCACCTAGGCAAAAACTGCTGTGACCTGACACAAAAACATGTGACAATCCATCGCAGAAAAGATCACAGTAGTGACCCATCTCTCTCTTCTGATATGAGACAGAATGCTAGCGTTACAAAGTTGATTGTGGTTGCTTCCCCACACCTGACATACCCATGTCTCTGTAATGAATGTTTTCAATCTGTAACCTGTGTTGAAACAAAATAAAAGGTAACTTCTGTCCAGTTTTTCAGGTGCAAATAGGAATGAAGAAGCAGTGTCATGTCAGACCTGCAAAACCATTTGAGTCCTACATAACACAGGGCTCTGCAAGCCCTGCCACAACCCCTATATCGGAGACACATAGGACTGACAGCTATTTACAAAGGTGAGATTCAACTAGGCAATTTGGGACCATCTTTTTACCAAGAACTTGAAATTCATACCCCATTCTGCCCTTTTCAATGTGTCATATCTTTAATACATGAGAATAATGACGCAGGTAACAACCTTCAGTTCAGAATACTCTCCTAGAGGACAGCAACAGTCCCTGTGTACCTGGAGTGTGAACTCTTCAAATACTGTGTCTACGCATTCATCCGGGCAATGGTTTAGAGAACTTAAGAAGCAGACAGCCTACGGGTGAAAGCGCCCAGGAATTCAACATCGACACCACACCAAGGAATCTTTAAGTGGTAGTAGCCAGCGAAACATGGCAGAAATTTGCATCTGGAGCTCATCATTTACCAGTAGCGACTGATGAGGACATTCCCGGAGAAGGGCACCTAGTCAACAGGCACAGAGATGTGGACAAGAAAAAACTAGTACGGCTGAAGGCTACATTCTCAGCGCACCCTAGCGACGGGACGCTGCGCTGCCGCAACGGATCCCTTCCAGACCCCCCAGCCCAGCCCTCCGTTGTTTCCACTTCGGAGGCCTAGTAGGACCCACGAAAGCTCGCCGGGGTGTGGCAGTGCTAGGTTCCAAGGGAGCCAGAGGCCCGGAGCCGAGATCAAGCAGGGGTCAAGTAGTCGGCCTGGGTGGGCAGTGGCTAGGAAGTGACACCGGAAGGCAACTAAACACATCACTGCAGGAAGCCGGGCCAAGGTTTTCCGGACCCAAAGGCCCGAACCCCCGCCCGGCCCCGCGAGCACCCTTAGAAGCTGGGCGTAAGCGGTACAGCCCTTCAAGTGCCGCCGTGGTTGGCTCTGAAAAGAGCCTTTGTGTGCGATGGACCGGGCGAGGCGAGGCGCGCGCTTCCTGCTTAGGCGCGCTCCCCGCGGATGCGGCGAGCCAGCTGGATGTCCTTGGGCATGATGGTGACGCGCTTGGCGTGGATGGCGCACAGGTTGGTGTCCTCGAACAAGCCCACCAGGTAGGCCTCGCTGGCCTCCTGCAGCGCCATCACGGCCGAGCTCTGGAAGCGCAGGTCCGTCTTGAAGTCCTGCGCAATCTCGCGCACCAGACGCTGGAAAGGCAGCTTGCGGATCAGCAGCTCGGTGGACTTCTGGTAGCGCCGGATCTCGCGCAGCGCCACGGTGCCCGGCCGGTAGCGGTGCGGCTTCTTCACGCCGCCCGTGGCCGGCGCGCTCTTGCGGGCCGCCTTGGTGGCCAGCTGCTTCCGCGGGGCCTTGCCGCCGGTCGACTTGCGGGCGGTCTGCTTCGTTCGGGCCATAGCGTACAGGGACACGAAACTGACGGGGCAGCGGTTAGGACCTTAACGACGCGCAGGACTGGCGCAGCAGCCTTTTATAGGCACAGTCATTTCCCGATTGGGCGGGAAAAAACAATTGAAAGGCCCGCGCTGGCGGGCCATTGGCTGTGACGCCACCCGCCCCCGAGCCGTTCATTGGCTCGGGCCGCGCCCAGCCTGGCCGCGTCCCGCCCCGTCCCCGCCTCGCTCTCCGCTTTCCCCCTCTGCCAGCAGTTTCCGGACCTGGTATGCAGTGGCTGTCTGAGTGCAAGTGGCCTCTGAGCGCTGCTGCTCAAGAGTCAGTCAGTCGGTCCCCCTTGGGACCCTCATCCTTTCTTTCAAAACGGACTGCCGCGAGAGCCCTTTGCCTCGTGCGCTGCAGTGTGGGTCCGGAGTTGAGACTCAACTTTTCGTCCCCTTCCCCCCAGCCCCTTGCACCTTTCAGGGCACTCTGGCAGCCGGTCACCTCTCGGCCGCCTGTTCGTAGCCTTTCGATGGGAGCGTGGTCTTGGGGAAGTCACGCTGCGAAAGCCCAGAGGGGCGAGTCAGTGTCCGCCACGGGGGCTACGTCAGGTGTGCAAGAGAGCCCGGCGAAGCTCAGACCGAGACCCTCCACGCTACCGAAACCTGCGCGTTCCACTCCCGTTAGGCGCGGCGGCGACAACAGCGCCCCGCCCGAACTGCACCTCGCTAGGGCAGCCAAGGCCCGCGGGGGCGGGGGCACTCGGCTCCGCCCCTGGCCTTAGCGTTCATCGCAGAGTGCTACGCGGCCCGCCCGCGAGATGTTTGCGCGGCCTGAGGTGAGCAACTCCCAAGGTCCACGGCCCGACCCGGGCGAGGTAGGGAGTGAGCCCAAGAAACCGGCAGGGGGACGCGGATGCAAGCGGAGTGCAGAAGGCGCTCACTGCCCTCCCGTCCCATCCCTGGGCTCGGCGTGTACTGCTGGGAAAAAGGTCGGGAGGAACCTGGATCTGTTGACAACTCCTTTTTACTTGAAAGAGTGGGTGGCTCTGAAAAGAGCCTTTGATTTCACAAGCGCCCCTCAGGGGCGCGCGTTGCGCGGGGGCCTCCGCCCGGAGGCCTCACTTGCCCTTCGCCTTGTGGTGACTCTCCGTCTTCTTCGGGAGCAGCACCGCCTGGATGTTGGGCAGAACGCCGCCCTGGGCGATGGTGACTTTGCCCAGCAGCTTGTTCAGCTCCTCGTCGTTGCGAATAGCCAGCTGCAGGTGGCGAGGGATGATGCGCGTCTTCTTGTTGTCGCGGGCCGCGTTGCCAGCCAGCTCCAGGATCTCGGCCGTCAGGTACTCGAGCACAGCCGCCATGTAGACGGGTGCGCCGGCACCCACCCGCTCGGCGTAGTTGCCCTTGCGCAGTAGGCGGTGCACCCGACCCACCGGGAACTGCAGCCCGGCGCGGGAGGAGCGCGACTTGGCCTTAGCGCGGGCCTTGCCTCCTTGCTTGCCTCGGCCAGACATCACAGCGACCCGCACCACAAGCAGCTACCACTCAAACACCGGGAAAACCGTCGCGAACGGTGACGCTTCACCCTTTTATAGCCAGAGCGCGGATTGTCCGCGAAGCACGCTCATTGGTTAAAACCTGGCTTTGGCCTGAGGGCCAATAGGAGAGCTTGGCCAGATTCTACTCATTTACATAATCTCGTCCCCCACGCCTCCGCTCCGCTGAGAACTGGCGAATCGCAGCGCTGCGCGTCCGAAACCCTCATTTGCATGCGGCCTCTATAAATATCCTGGCGTCGCGGAGTGCCCCGCCGGGCTGGCGCGGCGCTTGTCTACTTGTTAGGGGTTATCCCTGGTGGCTCTTGGCGCCATGCCGGAGCCGGCCAAGTCCGCTCCGGCTCCCAAGAAGGGCTCCAAAAAGGCTGTCACCAAAGCCCAGAAGAAGGACGGCAAGAAGCGCAAGCGCAGCCGCAAGGAGAGCTACTCCATCTATGTGTACAAGGTGCTGAAGCAGGTGCACCCCGACACGGGCATCTCGTCCAAGGCCATGGGCATCACGAACTCCTTCGTCAATGACATCTTCGAGCGCATCGCTGGCGAGGCGTCTCGCCTGGCACACTACAACAAGCGCTCGACCATCACGTCCCGCGAGATCCAGACGGCCGTGCGCCTGCTGCTGCCGGGCGAGCTGGCCAAGCACGCCGTGTCGGAGGGCACCAAGGCGGTCACCAAGTACACCAGCTCCAAGTGAGTGCCGTTCGTACTTGGCGCTCCCCGGCCACGCTTTGCAAAGGCTCTTTTCAGAGCCACCCACCTCGTCAAGAGAAAGAGGCTGTCCTCATGCCGCCTGGGGGACGTCTTTAGGTGCACAAGCCGTGTGGCCTGTCTTTCCCCATCCGGCCAGTAAAGCTACAGCCCCTCCTAGACCAGACGTCACGTGGGTTTCAAGTCACTGGCGGTGTCCTTCGGCCTGCCGAGGTCGGCAGGACCTCCCGGGATGTGGGCTTAAGACAGGCCGGGCTTTGCCCGAGAGCACTAGGCTCGCTGATGTTCCCTCCAGCGTGCCCTTTTGGCCCGGAGATAAAGCGTGCCTGCCTGGCTGCTTTGTGACCTCAACGAAGGCTGTTGGTATTGAGAAGCTTACCCACCCAAGGGATACGCAAAATCCGGGTTCACAAGGGTACAACAAGTTGGGTGTCCTCCAGTTGGCAAGGCAGTGGTGACAGTCCTCTAATGTACGACTGTGCTCCTGAGCAAAGGGAATCGTTTAGCCGGGCGTGGTGGTGCACCTAGGTCACCCCAAGCCCAACCCCAGCACCCTGGGAGCGTTCGTGAAGCAGGAAGATCCTAACTTAAGAGTCCCAGGTGCCGGCCGTCGGGGTGCCATGCTTGTGATCCTAGCATTTGGGAGGCCGAGGCAGGCGGGTCGACGCCATCCTGCAACTGCATAGTGAGTTTAGGGCCAGCCTGAACGACATAGTTATCATCCTGTCTCAAAAAGCAAAAATGTAGAGCCAGCCTGGGCGGTTCAGCGACACCCTGCCTCGAATTTTATTTTATTTTACCTTTTCTTTTTCCTCTTCTTTTTTTATGTGTAAGGGCTGGTGATAAAGCTCAGTAAGTGCCGAAGCCCTGGGTTTAGTGCCTGGTGACGAGTAATTTTGCCAGTAGTTTCAGCGCTGAGGCAGGCTGAGGCAGGTGCATTTGCAATTGCGTGTCCTGAAGGCTACTAAGTCCTTGTTTCAAAATGAAAAATCCAAATGCGTTGGATGTGGCTTGTGAGAGTGTCATTTAGTAAAGGCCTGAATGTGTACAATTGGGTCACAAGCATTTTCTCACTTAAAGTAGAAATTCCCAGCAAGGACAGAAGCTTGGTTCTGATACCTAGAAATAAAGTGTTAATGCTGGTGCCATCCTCTCCTGGAAATATTGTAAAACGTACCTGAAGTGGTTACTTGGAGAGAGTGTTCACCTCTTTCCTGAATGCTAGTCAACCACAAATCTGTTCCATACAGTGGAATCAGGTAAACTGCTTTTCTTGATATAGGACTTGGAATACTTGGAGATAAAGAGACCAAAAATGGTACAAAAGAGATTGATTGGTTTGAACTTATTGTGTCTAGATTGTTTTAGGCAAAAACTGAAATATTATGACCTGATTAACCTTTTAAAAACGCCCATTGTTGTGGAAATTACCAGTGCCAGGATAACCAGGGTAGGAAGGAGGATGTCATATAGGAAACTTGCAGTGTTTTGGGCAAGAGCAGTGACTTGCGGGGATCAGCAGTCTTGCAGCATCGTCAACACTGTTGAGGGCTTATGAAAAACAGCAAACATTCTCTGGCCTCAGTAATTTGTGTTAACAAATTGAGTGATTTTATTTTGGCAGTAGACATGTTGAATTGGAGTTCACTGTTAGTAGTGGAGACAGCAGTGTTGGAATTGGGATTCTGTCTTGGAGGTAGAATTGATAGGTCTTGCAAAAAAAATAGATTTAGGTTAGGATGAAGCCCCTCGGTTTTTTGGCTTGTTCAACTGGGTAGATACTGGTGCTGTTATTTAGGATGCAATACAGTATGGGAAAGAGGTATGTGTTCGGGCATTGAAGGAAATCCACTTGATGTTCAAGTGGATCTTGTCCATGTGAGACTGGAAGGTACCTCTGGGGCTGTGGAAACAACAGAATCCTTCCAGTGAAATGCTTCAATCGCAAGCAGATCAGAGGGACTGAGCACTTTCACCTTACTCTAAACTCTATTCTTAGGCACTGGTCATGAAATATAATGAGTCCTACAACGCACACTATTGACCACATTTGTAGCATTTATTTTTCTATTTATTTTCCTGTTGTGGGAAAAATTAACTGTCGCTAGGAACTCAGAAAAAGGAAGGAAATTTTATTGATGCTAGTGGATCCCAGAAGAGGAATCTCTAAAGTGTGAAGTCCTAGATCCCAGAAGAGGAATCTCTAAAGTGTAAAGTCCTGATTGCAGACAGTTTGGTGTGTGTGTGTGTGTGTGTGTGTGTGTGTGTGTGTGTGTGTGTGTATGTTTTTAATAGGGTGGTGAATAGAAACTACAAGAATGGGAGAAGCTTTTAGCTGAAGGTTATGGTACAATGAGTTTCTTGTGGTGAGCATAATTGTATGTAGCAAAGTTGTTTTTAGCACATCACAGAAGTTTTAATTTGGTGCAAATCATATGATTTAGCTGAGTTCAGTAGCAGAGAACAGAATGACTGCAGCTTTATTGAACAAAATGGCTGCAGTTAGATCAGGATGTCTGCTTCACTGTGACAGAACTGCCACACATCTCTTGGAAAGCAGATGTGGGTGTCAGAACCAAACTGTGCCTGGAGTTCTGCAGATGCCTCTCCCTATCCCTCTACCGTACCCCTGGGGTACGGTATTTTCAGACTTCCTGTTAGGCTAGTTTGTCCGCCACCCTCTAACTTAGTATGAATCTTGAAATATTTCAGGAATCCTAACAACTAATTTCCAAAGATAAAAAAAATGACATTAGAACTTTTATATTGAAAGGTTTTGTAGGATTCAAGTAGGGTAGATACAGACAATAAAAATGATCAAACTAAACATTTGGACCAAACATACAAGTGATAAAAATCACTATCATTTTTAATTTTCTTTTTAAAAATGTTTGTTTATGCCAAGAGTGGTGGCTCAGGCCTGTAATCCCAGCACTCGGGAGGCTGAGGTAGGAGGATCATTGTGAGTTTGAGACCAGCCTGGGCTACAAAGTGAGCTCAAGGCCAGCCTAAACTGCATGGTGAGACTCTATCTCAAAAAGACAAAAAAAAAAAAAAAGTTTATTTATTTAATTTTATCTTGTGATGCTGAGATCAAATCTAGGGCCTTCTTTCAAAACTGATGCTACAAGTGCCCCATCACTGAGCTACACCTCCAGTTAAAATCACAATTTGACTCAGGCTGCAAACTTTCCTGCCTCTGCCTCCCAGAGTGTTAGGGTTACAAGCACGTTAGGATTATTGGTTAGAATCTTATACTTTTATTAGCAGTTTATAGTTCTAAAAACAAAATGAAAAGTGAGAACAGAAGACAAAGGAATAACTCTAACTGTAACAATAGATAAATTTGTTAAATATTATGTCAAAATGGGCTGGCTTCATCTCCTTAATTTTGCTCACTTTTCCCTCATGTGTCCATATAAAATACCAAATACTTTTTCCTACCATGACAAACTTCTTGTCTGTCTCACTCAATTAAAATCATAATTTCCTAATTATTGCACAAGCTTCAGCTTATTGCAAAATCAAAACTAAAAAACAACAACAAAAAATTCTCACAAAACAACAAAACTTGGCTGGAGATTTAACTCTGTGACATAAGTACTTGCCTGGTGAGCACGAGGTCATGAGTTCAATCCTGGTACAAAAAAAAAAAAAACAACCTTTCCCAAGTATGGTCCCCAGGAAGCATTTCCTGCCTTTCTGTATGTCTGATATTGCTCTCCTAAGCAATAAAATAGATTGGTAAAGCCTGAAAATTCCAGTGAAAGCACAGACATGGAAATAAGGAAGACATTGAGGAATATGTGAGAACACGGGGTGGGAATATAACATGTTAAGAGAGACCACAGGAGTTTTGGTTAAAAACCAAAATATGTGTAGAGGATATAGAGGTCAACTTTGGTTCTAGAGACATAAATCATGGAAAGGACAACAGAAAACACTCCTAAAAGAGGGGAGAGAACAACTCAAATTAATTATAACACTCACTTTTCATTGGCTTATCTTTCTCACCAAAATTCATGCTTACAGTTGTGAAAGCAAAACTTATCATCAGGGACCTGGCCAAGATCCCCAACTGCCTATATGAGGGGTACACAAAAGGGTAAAATAAGAAAGAGATAAATTTAGTAATACATGAAGTGGGTATGTGACGTCAGTGCTTCAGGCCAGAAGGAGCCCAAGATACTTCAAAACAGCCACTATGTATTGGGTGCATACAATGTAGGAGGGTGAGTAGAGTCAAGTTCAATTTAAGATTCAGATTGATGACTCAGCAGGCAATAGATAATCCTGGGATGACTCAGGAGGATAGATATGATCTTGCCTTGGAGTGTTCTTTTTAATCTTAGTAGTTTTAGTTTAGTCTTAGTGGGCAGGAGAGGATGGCCCCTCAATAAGAGCAAATGGTGACATAGGGGAATGAAACTCCCAACCTACTAGATGTCCAGTATGATTTCCTTTTCTCTAAAGTTGAAGAATGAATTTTAGGAATAACAGTAGTTAAGGGCAGAATATATTAAGAGAAAGTAAGCTTCTGTCTGAGAGACAGAAAGGCTCCCAAGTGGGTTGCCAAAGATTGTCTTTTCTAGGGACTTTTACAGAGCAAAAAAACCACAAAGTGAGATATGTCTAAGGTGGCGAATCTGGGAACTGGAAAGGTGGTCATAGGGTGGGACACAACTATGATTAACCAATAAGATTAATTGCTTGGGTAAAATTGATTAAATCGGGGACAAAGGGGAAGTGAGTCATGTAGCAAGTGGGCATAAATATAGAACAGTGGCTTTCCATAGGAGGTTGGGATGGTGACTCCTGACTTCCTCAAGGCTATAGAGATCTATTTAGAATATCAAGTCCTCGTGCTTATCCTTAGGAAGTTATCCTTAGGAAGTAGGTGGATACATTTGATTTATCTTTTGTCTTGAGGTATGGCCCACAGCAGAAGTGTCTGTCTCCCCCCAGAGTTGCAAGGTATCTGGGCTTCTGCACTGGTTTCTTCCAGGGCCTAGCCCTCTCTGACTGCCTATAGTATTTGTCTAACTCAGTTGCCTGTAAAAATAACAATGGGAAGTCTCAAAAGTGTAATACCACAATATCAAGCCTCCACTTATCCCTTAGGGAAGTAGGCAAAGTTAGCTATGGTGAATTTCTTGTCCCCAACAAAAACCGACATTTGTTTTGGCTGTATTACAAGTATTTGTGTTATTTCCCACAGTAAAGGCAAATTAAAAAAAAAAACAAAACTTTGCATACTGACATAGATCGTGCAGGGGATACTATAGTAAGCAGAATAGAAAAATTCTCTGTCCACAGAACTTAATTCTGCTTGGTAGATAATTGAAAAGAAGCCTGTGTATAACATTCGGGGGTGATGTGTGCTATGAAGCAAGTAGAATATGAACTAGAATGAGAATAGGGCTCTGATCAGTTAATATTTAAGAGACTGGACTAGAGTAAGTAACAAGATAACTGAGCTGTCACGTTCATGGGGTACAGAATTCTAAGAATAGACAGTAGTAAGTGGACCAGCCCTATGGTGGGCACATGTTAAGTGAGTTGAATTATAGTGACCACTGGAACAGTCACACCAAGACAAGCTGTTGGGGTACAGTTATAATGAAAGAACATTTTTTTTTTTTTTTTGTCTTTTTTGTTTTTATCCGTACCAGGGATCGAACTCACGACTGCCTGCTTGCAAGGCAGGCGCTTATGCCGCTGAGCTAAATCCCCAGCCCAGAAAGAACATTTTTGTAAAATAACAAACTTACAGGCATTTTGTGATCAATCAGAGGTCTCTGACCAAGTTAGTATTCTGCTAAATTCAACTGACCTTGACAGTGTCTACCGCCCAGCTGCATAACTTTGAGGAGCACTGAGTCAAAATAGTTGTCTATACCTGAAGGCACACTGGGCTAATGAATGCTATGCTCATTCTGTAAGGGCCCCCTCCCCTTGTTCCCAGAGTGTTTCTATTGTTTCAAGACTAGCCTGTCAACATATGACTCAATGCATGTAAACTCTTATGCAATGTTTTGTCACTTGCTTTGTACCTCTCACTTTAAAATTCTTTTTAAGAGACTTTTTAAAGAATCGGAACTGGGGATCAAACTCACAACCACATGCTTGCAAGGCAGGCGCTTATGCCGATGAGCTAAATCCCCAGGCCCCCCATTTTAGAATTCTATATAAACTACACTTTTCCTAAATTCAGTGCTGTTGCCTTATTATCTTGCAATACCCCTTTGTGGAACTATGCTGGAATAGTGTGCTAGTGTAAAGATAAACCACTGCCTTCTTGTCTGCACAGTGCAGTCTTCCTTTCAGTTTGCTTGGTTTGGGATGTTCCCACAACAAAGCAAGATAGGCATTGAGCAAGGAAGATTTGCAAGAAAGGAGATCAGAGGGGTAGTGGAAGTAAAATTGTACAGCCATTGGAGAGCCTTATAGACCACTGCAAAGATTTAGATTTGAGATGGAGTTTTTGGAGATTTTGACTGGATGTCCTGATTTGACATTTCTTGTTTTACTTACACATTTAAAAAAAAAAAAAACCTCTCTGGGGGGCAGGGATATAGCTCAGCAGCACAGTGCCTGCCTCAAAAGTAGGAGGTCCTGTGTTCGATTCCTGGTATCCCCACACCAAAAAAAAAAAACCCCTCTGGATGCTTCATTGAAAAATAAATCACAGAAAACCAAACACAGAGGCAGGTAAAATATCAAGGTGACACACTAAAAAGTTCAGGAGAGATATATTTTAAATGAAATTGACAAATTGAATGTAGGTAATGACAAAGTGAAGAAAAAAGGATAAACTTTGAGATTTTGGACTGAGCACTTTGGAAACATAAGTCTGCACTGAGCACTTGGAAAGATAAGTCTGCTATTTACTGATGAGTGATGAGCAGGTGTGAAAAAAACCCCAAGATTATTGTTTTGAACAAAATTTTGAGAATCTTGGTACTTCAAGTGGAAATTTCAAATATCCTATGTGAACACACACACAAAAAATTCATGAACTATTTGAAAATAAACTATAAATTTGCTAACATTTTTTTCAAGATACTATGGCCTAGTTCTTTAAAAAGATGTACTGTGTAAGCACAACAGCATTTTCACCATATTAAATTTAATAGTGATTCCATAAATCCATAAATATAAAGCACTGTGCTGCTGAGCTATATCCCTGCCCCCAAGAGAGGTTTTTTTTTTTTTAATATGTAAGTAAAACAAGAAATGTCAAATCATGACATCCAGTCAAAATCTCCAAAAACTCTCCATCTCAAATCTAAATCTTTGCAGTGTTCTATAAGGCTCTCCAATGGCTGTACAATTTTACTTCCACTACCTCTCTGATCTCCTTAAATCCATAAATGGGTTTATGGATTTAATATGTAAGTAAAACAAGAAATGTCAAATCATGACATCCAGTCAAAATCTCCAAAAACTCTTCATCTCAAATCTAAATCTTTGCAGTGGTCTTTATATAAGGCTCTCCAATGGCTGTACAATTTTACTTCCACTACCCCTCTGATCCCCTTTCTTGCAAATCTTCCTTGCTCAATGCCTATCTTGAGCTCAATAGCGAATCACTATTAAGTTTCTCTTGTTTTTGTTACAGTGGTGAGGATTGAACAGTTTTTGAGGCAAGTACATGGCCATTAAACTACAACCACAGCATGATTTCAATTTATTGTTTAAACACAGAAAGCGCAGTCGTGCATTAGAGGACTGTCACCACTGCCTTGCCAACTGGAGGACACCCAACTTGTTGTACCCTTGTGAACCCGGATTTTGCGTATCCCTTGGGTGGGTAAGCTTCTCAATACCAACAGCCTTCGTTGAGGTCACAAAGCAGCCAGGCAGGCACGCTTTATCTCCGGGCCAAAAGGGCACGCTGGAGGGAACATCAGCGAGCCTAGTGCTCTCGGGCAAAGCCCGGCCTGTCTTAAGCCCACATCCCGGGAGGTCCTGCCGACCTCGGCAGGCCGAAGGACACCGCCAGTGACTTGAAACCCACGTGACGTCTGGTCTAGGAGGGGCTGTAGCTTTACTGGCCGGATGGGGAAAGACAGGCCACACGGCTTGTGCACCTAAAGACGTCCCCCAGGCGGCATGAGGACAGCCTCTTTCTCTTGACGAGGTGGGTGGCTCTGAAAAGAGCCTTTGCAAAGCGTGGCCGGGGAGCGCCAAGTACGAACGGCACTCACTTGGAGCTGGTGTACTTGGTGACCGCCTTGGTGCCCTCCGACACGGCGTGCTTGGCCAGCTCGCCCGGCAGCAGCAGGCGCACGGCCGTCTGGATCTCGCGGGACGTGATGGTCGAGCGCTTGTTGTAGTGTGCCAGGCGAGACGCCTCGCCAGCGATGCGCTCGAAGATGTCATTGACGAAGGAGTTCGTGATGCCCATGGCCTTGGACGAGATGCCCGTGTCGGGGTGCACCTGCTTCAGCACCTTGTACACATAGATGGAGTAGCTCTCCTTGCGGCTGCGCTTGCGCTTCTTGCCGTCCTTCTTCTGGGCTTTGGTGACAGCCTTTTTGGAGCCCTTCTTGGGAGCCGGAGCGGACTTGGCCGGCTCCGGCATGGCGCCAAGAGCCACCAGGGATAACCCCTAACAAGTAGACAAGCGCCGCGCCAGCCCGGCGGGGCACTCCGCGACGCCAGGATATTTATAGAGGCCGCATGCAAATGAGGGTTTCGGACGCGCAGCGCTGCGATTCGCGAGTTCTCAGCGGAGCGGAGGCGTGGGGGACGAGATTATGTAAATGAGTAGAATCTGGCCAAGCTCTCCTATTGGCCCTCAGGCCAAAGCCAGGTTTTAACCAATGAGCGTGCTTCGCGGACAATCCGCGCTCTGGCTATAAAAGGGTGAAGCGTCACCGTTCGCGACGGTTTTCCCGGTGTTTGAGTGGTAGCTGTTTGTGGTGCGGGTCGCTGTGATGTCTGGCCGAGGCAAGCAAGGAGGCAAGGCCCGCGCTAAGGCCAAGTCGCGCTCCTCCCGCGCCGGGCTGCAGTTCCCGGTGGGTCGGGTGCACCGCCTACTGCGCAAGGGCAACTACGCCGAGCGGGTGGGTGCCGGCGCACCCGTCTACATGGCGGCTGTGCTCGAGTACCTGACGGCCGAGATCCTGGAGCTGGCTGGCAACGCGGCCCGCGACAACAAGAAGACGCGCATCATCCCTCGCCACCTGCAGCTGGCTATTCGCAACGACGAGGAGCTGAACAAGCTGCTGGGCAAAGTCACCATCGCCCAGGGCGGCGTTCTGCCCAACATCCAGGCGGTGCTGCTCCCGAAGAAGACGGAGAGTCACCACAAGGCGAAGGGCAAGTGAGGCCTCCGGGCGGAGGCCCCCGCGCAACGCGCGCCCCTGAGGGGCGCTTGTGAAATCAAAGGCTCTTTTCAGAGCCACCCACTCTTTCAAGTAAAAAGGAGTTGTCAACAGATCCAGGTTCCTCCCGACCTTTTTCCCAGCAGTACACGCCGAGCCCAGGGATGGGACGGGAGGGCAGTGAGCGCCTTCTGCACTCCGCTTGCATCCGCGTCCCCCTGCCGGTTTCTTGGGCTCACTCCCTACCTCGCCCGGGTCGGGCCGTGGACCTTGGGAGTTGCTCACCTCAGGCCGCGCAAACATCTCGCGGGCGGGCCGCGTAGCACTCTGCGATGAACGCTAAGGCCAGGGGCGGAGCCGAGTGCCCCCGCCCCCGCGGGCCTTGGCTGCCCTAGCGAGGTGCAGTTCGGGCGGGGCGCTGTTGTCGCCGCCGCGCCTAACGGGAGTGGAACGCGCAGGTTTCGGTAGCGTGGAGGGTCTCGGTCTGAGCTTCGCCGGGCTCTCTTGCACACCTGACGTAGCCCCCGTGGCGGACACTGACTCGCCCCTCTGGGCTTTCGCAGCGTGACTTCCCCAAGACCACGCTCCCATCGAAAGGCTACGAACAGGCGGCCGAGAGGTGACCGGCTGCCAGAGTGCCCTGAAAGGTGCAAGGGGCTGGGGGGAAGGGGACGAAAAGTTGAGTCTCAACTCCGGACCCACACTGCAGCGCACGAGGCAAAGGGCTCTCGCGGCAGTCCGTTTTGAAAGAAAGGATGAGGGTCCCAAGGGGGACCGACTGACTGACTCTTGAGCAGCAGCGCTCAGAGGCCACTTGCACTCAGACAGCCACTGCATACCAGGTCCGGAAACTGCTGGCAGAGGGGGAAAGCGGAGAGCGAGGCGGGGACGGGGCGGGACGCGGCCAGGCTGGGCGCGGCCCGAGCCAATGAACGGCTCGGGGGCGGGTGGCGTCACAGCCAATGGCCCGCCAGCGCGGGCCTTTCAATTGTTTTTTCCCGCCCAATCGGGAAATGACTGTGCCTATAAAAGGCTGCTGCGCCAGTCCTGCGCGTCGTTAAGGTCCTAACCGCTGCCCCGTCAGTTTCGTGTCCCTGTACGCTATGGCCCGAACGAAGCAGACCGCCCGCAAGTCGACCGGCGGCAAGGCCCCGCGGAAGCAGCTGGCCACCAAGGCGGCCCGCAAGAGCGCGCCGGCCACGGGCGGCGTGAAGAAGCCGCACCGCTACCGGCCGGGCACCGTGGCGCTGCGCGAGATCCGGCGCTACCAGAAGTCCACCGAGCTGCTGATCCGCAAGCTGCCTTTCCAGCGTCTGGTGCGCGAGATCGCGCAGGACTTCAAGACGGACCTGCGCTTCCAGAGCTCGGCCGTGATGGCGCTGCAGGAGGCCAGCGAGGCCTACCTGGTGGGCTTGTTCGAGGACACCAACCTGTGCGCCATCCACGCCAAGCGCGTCACCATCATGCCCAAGGACATCCAGCTGGCTCGCCGCATCCGCGGGGAGCGCGCCTAAGCAGGAAGCGCGCGCCTCGCCTCGCCCGGTCCATCGCACACAAAGGCTCTTTTCAGAGCCAACCACGGCGGCACTTGAAGGGCTGTACCGCTTACGCCCAGCTTCTAAGGGTGCTCGCGGGGCCGGGCGGGGGTTCGGGCCTTTGGGTCCGGAAAACCTTGGCCCGGCTTCCTGCAGTGATGTGTTTAGTTGCCTTCCGGTGTCACTTCCTAGCCACTGCCCACCCAGGCCGACTACTTGACCCCTGCTTGATCTCGGCTCCGGGCCTCTGGCTCCCTGGGGTCCTACCCTTTCACAGCGGACGCGCTCTGGCTTGGCCTACTCGGCCTGTTCGTAAGTGTAAACGGAGGGCGGGGCAGGAGGTTTGGAAGCAGATCCGTGGCGACAGCTCAGCATCTGGTCTCTAAGGGTTTCCGACCCGCAACTTGGCTACTGCTGCAGTGGATCGTCTTTGCGTTGTCACCACTGGCCTGCCTTATCCCTTTATGCTCACCAAATGACTGCCGAGCGCTAATCTTCTCGTGCTTTTTAGTGGGACATAACCCCCTCTAAGTCGTCCTTCGGCGAGTTTTCGACATAGGAAAGTTAGTTCCGTGCTACATGAGCCATGCTCAGCAGTGCTACGTGCCAGTCGCTAGTTTTTGTTGGCGCTGTGGGCGCACTTGAGTTTTCTCAGCTTGTTAATCCTCGGCATCCCAGCATATATTGCTGTGAGCCGTTTTCCTAGGTTTGCTCGGGAATTTTTGCTTTTGTTTTGTTTTTCTTTTTCTCCTCTTGCCCAGCATAGAAGGTAGTGGCTCCCTGCCTCTATTCCAATACAACATAGCCAAATAGCCCTCCAGTTACTAATGAATAGGCATGGGCCAGACCACAAGCAAGGTTCTGGTGTCCAATCCATTATCTTGAACTTCTGAGTCCGATCCTGACCATGGCAGCTGAAAGGGTTTTGGCCCTGGCGGGACACTGTAGCCGGTAAAGCCAAGGAACTCCTATCTCTCCCCCATCCTTAGGAATCTATCTCTGGCGCCAAAGACCAATGGGCTACCTGTGCATCCCTAATGCCCCCCTTAGGTTCCACCCCAAGCCGAAGCTACTTATATGCCTCACTCTACGTGTTCCACGGAGAGATCGCCGACCCGGGGGTGGAGATGTCGCGCCCCGGGGAGTTGGGGGTGTCTATCTCCCCACATTCTCAAAATGAAGGTTATTTATATTTCATACTTATCTTTTCAGCCGCCGCCGGTCCTCCCCCACAGCAGCAGCAAGATGTATGGTGAACCTGGGTTTCAATGACCAGCATAACCCAGGCCACTTTCTGAGAGCCAGATCTTGAGGCAGTGTGGCTCCCTGCTCTTGCTTTTACTGTAGTGCTTCTGGAAGATATCCTGAGATGCAGCCAGAGCTCTCTGTAATTGTGAGACTGTCCCGCAAGGCTCTAAGTCCAACTTTCTGGGTGGCACTGAAATCATCTCCTTCCCCTCTACCCTCTCTTTTCCCCACTCCCTCATCTCTCCTACTAGCATCTTGCCTCAAAGGCTGAGTCCAGCTTGAGGTTGAATTACCAGGTGAGAGAAGTCAAGGACTAGCCTAACTGGCTAGGGGACTGGCATGGGATCTAGAAAGGCCACACTATAAGACACACCTTACCTTTGTGGATCTTTATTTGCACCTAGAAATGGCCAACAATTCTTTTACTACAGTTGATAAGTAAAAGGAGAATTCACAGGCTGTGTGGTGTAGGGGCCCTCCCTGTAATCCCAGCACTAGGGAAATTGAGGCAGAAGGATCACTTCGAGTTCAAGGCCAGCCTGAATTGCAGAGAACTGCTTTTATTTCTAGTATCAGGGATTTCAGAATAGGCTGTTACAGGCTGAATTATGCCCACTTACCCCATTCATATCTTGAAACCCTACTCTTAGTTACTCAGAATTTGACTGTATTTGGAGACAGGATTAAGAGGTGATTAAATCAAAACGGAGCCATTAGGGTGGGCCTAATACAAAATCATGACACCCTTATAATAAGAGGTTAGCATAGTGAGGAGCACATGAACAAGCCAACATTCTGATGTTGGACTTCTAAGCTCCAGAATTGTGAGAAAATACATTTCTCTTATTAAAGCACCCCTAGTTTGTGGTATTTTGTTGCCGTGGCCTGCTGTGGTTTGAGATGTGTCCCCTGAAAGTTTCACTTGTGCTAAAAATTGTGTCACCACAGAGAGCTCCAGAGATCCCGCCATGGAGAGACTCAGGCAGCTTATTCACCCGCCCTCTTGGTAAGCACCTGCAGCTTGGGCCTGGAAAAGAACCGTTACCTGTGAGCCTACTGTTACTCGAGCTGAAAATCAAGCACCCTTCTCCCACCTGCCCCTTTCCCCTTAGCTACTGGGGATAGATGTTTCAACATTCTTGGGAGGATGACCATATGCAGTAAAGCAAATATGGGGGATTTCTTTCTATCTTCTGTTTGAAGGCACAGGTTGTTTTCACTGTTTTGTTATGTTTCTTTTGCTCTATTCAGTATTCTCAATTGGTTTTACAATGTTCTATTTTTGGTTTGATTTTACAATACGTAATTGACTGGACAGCTATTGTTAAGTTAAAGAGATATACCATAGTACTTATTACTACTATCCCAGTATCCTACTGTGAAATCCTGTACCAATTTCACTGCATTGTCTCGATTGGCTTTGTTCTGTCTTGTGCTGTTGCATTTTTACAACTTTCAAAATTAAAAAAAAAAAAATACATGTTAAGACTCATGCATGTGTAGAATCTATAAACAGTTTATGAGAACTGGCCTTATGACAATTGATGAAATGAACAGATGCTTTGAAGAAAAGGAGACACTAAAATAGCCAGTGCTGATCCTGGAGTGTCATAACGTGAAACCCAGCAATAGTGTTATTATTTGTTCAGAGTGATATTAACCTGGGTTTATTCAAAGTCAACATAATTGAAGATATGGGTAACTGTATATATGTTTAAGTGTATAGAATTGATAACCATATTTCTAAGTTTTTGTTGGATAGTTGAACAGAACTGGTTGCAATCTCACTGTTTGAATCCCCACTTTATATGCTCCACTTTAGTATCTTGAATAACTATTTGTAAGAAGACAATCTGTAATCATCAACTAGTGATTTCTTACCTTTTATTTTTTCTTTGAAATCATGTATTATTTCTACCCGTTTTCTGTTTTTTTAGTCTTTCTTTAAATTCAGTTTTAAAAAGAAGACACTACAGTACCCAGTGCTGATCACGGAGTGTCATGATGTGAAATCCAGCAATACTATTATTCTTTGTTCAGAATAATTTTAACCTGCTTTAGTTGTTTAAACATAAATGAAGATATGGATAACTGCATGTATGTTTAAATGTATAGGATTGACAACCATGTTACTAAGTTTTTGTTGGACAGTTGATTAGAACTTTTTGAAGTCTCTCTGTTTGAATTCCCACTTTACATGTTCCATTTTTGTACCTTGAACAACTATTTGTAAAATGACATCAACTAGTGATTTCTTACTGTTTCTTTTTCTCTGAACGTATATACTATTTCTACCTACTTTCTGTTTTGTTTAATCTTTCTTTAAATAAAATTTTTTTAAAAAAATTATAAAAATAAATGAATAAAAATTGTGTCACCACAGAGATTGTTGTCTCCAGTGTGGCCATGTTGAGAGAAAGTGAAACCTTCAGGAAATAGGTCTTAGCACTGGGTAAGCTGATCATGGGGACATGACCCTGCTAGTCTTGTGGAATTAGTTCTAGCCAGAGCTTAATATAAAAGGCCATTCCACATGCTTTCCCATTCTGCACTGGCCTGTTCCCTGTTTCTCCACATTTTGACACAGCCAGGAGCCCCTCACTAGGACGTAAGTACCATGCTATAAGGGCCCTCAGCCATCAGAATTATGAGCCAAATAAACAGCTTTATAAAGTACCCAGCCTCCAATATTTTGTTATAGCAACAGAGAATGTACTAATACATAACCCTAGAAAATGCAGATCCTATGGTCCCTGACCAGAGAGCACTTAGACCCTTAATGGACAATGGGATCCTTGGGATCTGTACTCAGCTAGTTCTAAAAAATACTCTGGGGTTTCCCTTCAGATCATATAAATTTTTCACCTTTTCAATTATTTCCAAAAGCAGCAATAACTTAGAGCTGTATAGGGACTGGCTGTATAGGGATGGCCTGCAACATCTCATCATTGAAATTTGCTAAAAGGTTTTCAGAAGATAAGTGACTTCTCCATGTTTCAGAGCTGAGCAGACCCCTGCTTACCCCTGAGCATGTAGATTTTCCCATGTCAGAGCATTTCCCCATAACAGTCATAGATCCCGAGCTAAACTGACACTCAAACATTTCAAAGCAAAATGCCAACCAACTTAAAACATCAAAAATGTCCAAGACCTCCACAGTCCTGGGATTTGAGGACAGCCAGCACATGTCATGGCTAAGGCAGCCTGATTGTCCCTAGCTTAGTAAGAATGATGATGTCCTGCCTTCACCCTTCGCTTCATTTTCTTCCACTTCTGCCCCTCTTGCTGACAGAGAAGTCTTCACTCAAAGATGGAAGGGTGAAAGGTAAGAGAGAGAAACACTGGCTAATCCAAGGCCTCTCTGGGCTGCTATGGGACCGTGGAAACCCTCCAGTTTAATTCTTTTATTTCCTGTTGAAGATGACCCTTAAGGACAGGGCCTTGTCTCCCTCATGTTCTGTCCAGAGCTGATATACAACAGAGGCTCTGCACTTGGACCATGAAAGAATTCCACAGTCACCGGTCCTGCTGAGCTAGCTTCCTGTCTGGAGGGAGAAAAACGGCATATCCACACTTTGAGGAAGTGTGGTCTGTCTAACCCAGTCCTCTTCTGCCTGGGCCCATCCTACCTATCAGCAGCCATCTTAGCAATTTGAACCATAGGGTCAAGGTGACAGAATCTGATTCCCACTGTGATTGGGTGGGACAATAAGAAATTCTCCAGAACCTTCAGGATTTCCAAACTGCCACAGGAATTTTAGTGTTACAACATTTATACATTTTTGGTGAAAGGACAAAGTTCACATTCCTGCCACTATCCTGTGAAGGTCAAACTTCTTAGGCCTAATAAGAAAACTTTTGGAATTTTGAGTTGGCTTAAGAAACTGAGGCAAAACAGTATCCAATTTTTGACACCAGTATAAAAATTTTAACTATTCAGGTACATAAATAGTTCTGTGTTTGCAAATTAAAGGGAAACAAGCAAAAAGCAATTCACAGTCTCATGAAAATTTTCATACATCAGACCTGCTTTCTGGGAAAAGTCTTCCATGAAACTTGTGTTGTTAATTGGATTTGAGTCTTTTGATAACACTGATGCTGCCCTCAGCCAAGGCAGTGGTAGAAGGAGACAAAGTTACAGTTATGGATATGAGGGAATTATAGAAGATAGACTGAATAAGATTTGGCAGTGTAGGCATTTGGAGAATGCGAGAGGAAGGAGCTTCTGGTCTGAGGGCTCAAAGATAATGGTAGATTTCACTAAGGTGGGGAATTCAGGGAGCAGAAATTGCTTTTAAAACCAAGAAGATGCACAAGGCCTTCCCTGACACTGAGGCTGACATTTATTATTATCTAAGAGAACATACCCATCAAGAATAAGCAATATTAATTCATTAAATACAGAGGTTTTGCTGGAGGTATCTGCAGGGGATCCCTCCATAGATAAGGATAACAGAAGACAGGGAATCGGGTGAGATCTACACAGGGTTATGGAGAAGAGCACTAAGGCACATACCATGGGTAAGCAGAAACATGTAGGGAAGTTAGCAGATGAGCATGCCAAGAAACAGAAAGCACAGCGGGAAAGAGATGATGGTCACCTAAAGAGTATGGCTCGGGTGTCACCGGGAAGCTGGTCCCAGTGCTGCAAGGGACTGCCCCTTTTCTTCTTTGGTCCTTGATTCTTTGCGCTCTTGTGAAGAAATTTGGTCAAGACACATACGAGCTGAGTAGGAGTATCAGTAGAATTTACTGTGAAGTAAACAGTTACATCTTCCAGCTAGAAAGCAGGCACCACTTACTTTGCCTGTGAGTCTGGATACCAGTATTTTATGTACACAGGGGGAACTCTTAGGATTCCAGCAACAAGAGAAATTATGTTGTTTATCGACATTTTATTTAGAAGTTACTTTGGAATTGCAAAATGTCTTCCTGTCCTTTTTAGATAGTCAGTGCTTCCCCAAGGGACTTGATCATATAAGAAACTTAGAAATTTATGAAAGATAGGTTCTTAATTTAACCCAGGTTCCAGCCTAAGGCAGAGGAGTCTTTAAGAACATTTCCTTTCTCAATGTCATTGGGCTGTAGGCTTTGGCAGCCTGGAAAGCTGTAAGCCTTGTTTTGGGACTCAATGGCCAAGTATCAGAAGACTGCACAATGTGTAACTTGAAAATGTCATCATGCGCTGTGGGATCACTTAAGATGAGAGACCTAACAAATGATTGTAAACATTTTATACACTGAAGTCTCGGCTTCTTTACTTAACTGATAACGTATATGAGTCTGGCCCTTCTCCCATTTAGGCTTCCTGAAGTCTATCTGCCTAATTCCAAGAAGGCAAATGTGGTGTCAACAGGACCACATTGTACACTAAAGTTTAGATATAAATCTATACTAAGCTCAGTGAGTGCTGACTTCACTCTATATATTTCTTCTTACATCTCTCTTCTCTCTATACATCTCATAAAATAAAATTATTTTATTTATTTATTTTACTTTTTATTTTTTGGAGTTTTTTGAGACAAGCTCTCACCACATAGTTCAGGCTGGACTCGAACTCACTATGGAGCCCAGGCTGGCCTCAAACTTGATGCAATCCTCCTGCCTCACCCTACTAAGTCGAGCAGGAAACATCAAGTGAAGAGCTAATGTAAAAAGCTCAGAGAGGAAGCAAAGAGAGGTACAGGAGACACACGTCTGAGGTTCTCTGTTCAATTCATTCTTCACCTGCTGACTCCTGCTCCCCTGACTCCACCAACATCTAGGAGAGAAAATCTTCTCTCCTAGAGAAGCTGTCACCTCTGCGCTTTAAATCTTTCCAAGCTCTCACCCCATTGCCTTCATGATGAAATCCACACATGCACATCATAGACAGTACAAAGAAGCAGAAACTAAGCATTAAGTCACAGGCTGGGAAGTCCTGGCTCTGCCTCTCGCTCACCATCCACATGTGTCTCCCCAGGTCTCAGATGTTCTCCGTTAAGTGAACAGAATGAAACCTGCCTAATAGTGTTTTTTGGAGATGACCAAAGAAATAATACCTATATAGTGAAAAGCAGTGTCTCATCTAAAATGAGGAGGAAATTAATACTATTATTTATTAACTATTTAAGACAATTAAAATAATTACAAAGGCAAAGCTCAGCACTCCTAAGCTGTCAACTTCTTCTGGCTGGTGATTAGATGTTCCTGAGCTACATTCCCTTAGCTGCTCAAGTCTACTCTGGTCCTACCCGCTCTCTGTAATTCCCAGCTGTGTCACAGCTTGGCAAATTCTGTTTTCTGTCCAGGAATTTTCCTGTCCTTCCCAGGTCAGCATTCTAGTCTTCAGGATTCAGAACCAGGAAGCTTCCCTCATGTGTCACACTGCCACCACCACCTCCCATACTGCTCTGCTCAGGCCAACAGAGAGCATTCCCCTCAGGGTCTAACAAGCATAACCTCTCCTCTATTTTAGCAATCCCTCTGGATTCATTTGTGCTTCCTCATAGTTATGTCACGGTTGGTATTTCACCAGATTCATCTCAGTAGATCAACACCCTGACCATGCCTGAAATATAGTAGCTAGTCAAGGAATGTCTGAAGAGGGACCCAATTCTGCCAGGCTCTGAATTTTCATGCAAAATGTCACAGTCCCCAGATCTTTCCCAGGTCTCAGGAATTTGCAGGTCAGAGGAAGTCCAACCTGGCTCCAAAATAAATTCATCCAGGTTGAACCCTGAAAGGGAAGGCAGGTAGCTAGCCTGTGCTGACCCGTTTTGCCAATGAATAGCTAAAGTCTACTATTATTGTGGTCTGAGCTGAGGAGCTCTTAAAAGGAAATGCTTTAGGGAAAGGTGCACACTTGTAGTAAACTAAATAATAGACCTTTCAAGATATCCACCTCCCTGTACCTGGAATTTGTGTTACTTTGTATAGGAAGGGAACTGTGGTCATGAATAAGACTGGACATGGGGAGCATACAATGGGTCATCAGAATGGATACTGTAATCACCAGTTCTTACTTAAGGAAAACAAGAAGGCCAGTGAGGAAGAGGATGCTATGATGACAGAAGCAGAGACTGGAGCAATTGTCCAGGAGCAAAAAGCTGCCAGCAGTTTCTAGAAGCTGAAGAACAAAGGAACAGATAATCCTCTGGAGCTTCCCCAGGTAACTAGTCCTCAGGCACATGTTTTGGACACCAAAGACTCATCTGGCATTTCTGACCTCCAAAACTAGAAGAGAATACATTTAAGTTCCTTAAACCACAAAGTCTGTGATAACATTAAAATATCAATAGAAAACTTACTTTGCTTATTTTTTTAATTTTTCACACTGGGGATCAAACTCATGACCTTGTGCTTGCCAGGCAGGAGCTTATACCGCTAAGCTAAATCCCCAC